GCTCCTGAATAAAATTAAGGAGATTTCATTTATGGAAACTAAACCTTTGCTAATTACCATGGATGTGAAGAGCCTATATACCGTAATCCCGCATGATGAAGGTGTTGAGGCCATGCGACAAGTACTTATGGCATCGACAGTGTACCATGGTCCACCTATTGAGTTTGTACTGGAAATTTTGGCAATCACTTTGGAACGCAATTACTTTCGTTTTGAAAACCAGTGGTACTTGCAGATATCAGGCACATCGATGGGGGCGGCAATGGCCCCCATGTATGCAAATGCATACATGTATGTGTATGAACAGAAACACATCTTGTTACCATATGGCCATTTAATACAAGGCTATTACCGTTACATTGATGATCTTTTGATCATTTGGAATGGTACCATAATGGAAGCACATAATATGGTCGATGAACTTAACAAACTACCAGTACCTATAAGAATGACGGCGAACATCAGTACGGATAAAGTCCAATACTTGGATGTCGAATTGTCCATAGGTACAGACAGATTGGAATATAGCTTGTTCACGAAAGCCACTGACCGCAATACCCTCCTCCATGCACATAGTGCTCACCCACAAGGTTTGAAGGACTCTCTCCCAAAGGCCCAATATCTGCGGGTGATGAGAAACAACTCTGACGAGAACATCAAAGAGAAGCAACTGATTGAAATGACTAATAAATTTTTGGAACGGGGGTACCACCGCTCCACCCTTGATAAAGCATTAAGAGAGGCTAGGGCCCCTCGGGAACCTAGGGTGACAGCGACATCACAAAGAATGGTTTTCCCCACTACGTTCCATCAATCAACGGGTCAAATTTCCTCCGCCATCAGAAAAAATTGGAGAATACTGGCAGCGGATGACACCCTCCCTAAAGTCTTTTCGGAACAACCTTTAGTTTGCTTCAAGAGGAATAAAAATCTAAAGGATTTGTTGGTCCATACTGACCCTATCCTAAGTTATGCTGATAATGTTACAATACAATGCCGGGGCAGTGTGCGCTGCCTCGGGTGTGTAACATGTGGACATATGACCCCATCTAAGTCTTTCCAACACCCACACACCAACAAGAAATATATAATTCGGAGTACCATTACGTGTAAAACTACTCATGTTGTTTACAAACTCACATGTCCATGTGGGTTGGTGTATATTGCTAAAACTGAAACAGCGCTCTGTGAAAGAATAAGGGGTCATAGATCCAGCATTAGATTGGCCTACAGGGATGGTGGATCGGACAAACCAGTGGCGAAACATTTCTTTGATTTTAATCATCCATTAGCCACACTGAAATTCATAGCAATTGACCATATTCCAGCATCGAGACGGGCCGGAGACAGGGGTAAATTGCTATTAAACAGAGAGACATTTTGGATATTTGAATTGGACACAGTTTACCCAAAGGGTTTGAATGAATATATCTCGTTTCATTCATTCTTGTAATAGGTTTAACGACAAGTGAGGTTTGTCATAATGACTTGAGTTATGAAATATATTTATATGCATAGCCATAACAGAGTTATAACCCCAGCTATTGGTATTTTGATTTTAAGATATGAATGCTGAGATATGCCATTAAGTACAAAACATTTTTTGGGCATCTTAATTAGTAAGGCTAAATGAGCATAGCCCATTATATAGAAAGATGTTTAATCATTATATATGATTAACAGGAGGAGTTGTAGTATCAACCCTCAATATATAATGCTTTAGGTAATCTTGATCGCATCTCCTCAGTGTTTGGATTTTTTATAAGTGTACATGTATTGTTATTATGTTAGTATATTAGTATCAATGTTATCAGGTATATATTTTTCCTTTTATACGTGGGGTTTTGAAAGAGAATAGATCTATTTTTACACATTACACCATATAATATTTTTTCACTAGCATTTATTGCACTTTTTTACTATTGATAGTTTGCACTTTACATATATATGCACTGTCACTTTAAAATATCTAAATATGGATTGTATTGCATGTCACTTTAAATTATCCAAGTATGGATTGTCATGCAAATGAGTTTTATATCACTCTTTACCTTTATGAGCATTACACTCAGTTATATGCACTGATTCCCTAATAAGATGAACACATGGATGTTTTTATGCACTTTATTTACACTGATAATGTTGACACTTTACAATGAATTGAGCAGATATAATATATAGCTCATTCATATTTGTATACTTATTATTATCATTATTTTTATTCACATGTTTTATAGTTTAGTATTTTCGGTATTTGACTCCACCCCCCTTTAAAGACATTAACTGTGGCGATCTTTTGTTTTCCGGCATCACCAGGGCAACTACCGTTCCGGTCTGGTTGCCGGCGTTTGGTTGTCCATGGTGATGCTGTGTTGGACAACGTCGCCAAGGTAACAATTTAGCCGCGATCACGCGATGACGCTATGACGCCACGGCAGGGGGCGGAGTCTACTCGCACATGCGCACAGAGCGGGTCAGGACGCCGATTGAATGGCGGTTTCACCTGGGGTAAGCTAATACACTTAATAGTTTTATGTATAAAAGCCTTGTATGTTGTATATACTGTTCTTCATCTCTTTGATCCTGAGGAAAGTCCTGATAGGACTGAAACGTTGGTCGTAGATGTTTTAAATCTATTTTCAATAAACTTGGATTTTTTATTCACCGTGAGTGCAGCAATTCGTTGGATTTTTGTATGGACGGCTATTATTTGCTGGCACCCGGGCAACAAGGGTAATTGGAGCGTGAGTGCGGGAGCTATTGGTATTTTTTATATATATATATATATATATATAAAACTTGGGAAGCAAAATCCAATTAGGTTATGGTGGGGAAAAATTGTGATTGAAAACCCCTTCCACCTGATGTCTTAACTTAACATTTAATGGTCCATCTGATGGACTAAAAAGAACAAGACTAACTACAAACAAAAATGAATAAAAATAAAATGTATAAAGAAAAAATGACACAAAGAAATACAATAAATGTGATGGCTAAAATAGCCCACTTAATCAAGTGTAGGCTGACACCTTAATACGCTCTCGTGAAGACACGAGATACGCAATATCTGGGTAGAGGTGCCAGATCTCTATAATAGTATGGTGCAGTAATTAGTTAAAAAAAAAAAAAAGCACACTCTTTTTACTAGCAAATAAATGTAAACTACTGTTTAAATAGTCCTGCAAGGTGTAAAATACGAAGGTGATATATGGCTAACCAGAGCAGAATGATCGGAATGTCACTGCCCCTATATCACTTTATCATAGCAGTGGTTTACTCATGATACTCGTGATAACCATATGAATGAGACAAGAGCTGCACTCTATCTTTGATCTAGCGATATGCAGGGACAGGTGTGCATGTATGTACGTAGTGGGGAATTACGATACCACATAACATAGATAACCCCAATAAAAAGCCCCCCAATAACGACAGACAACTTAGTATGGATGAACAGGCCACAGCATTTATTATAACATAAATAAATTACTGCATAACACATTCATAACTTTATTTATTAAACTCTTCTTTCTGTTAGAAATAAATAATCATAAATTAACATATATACATATAATAACAAAACGTGCTATGCAGAGACCCAACCGTCCTTGCCAATAAACATCCAGTGGCTCCTAATCACCACTTCCTCTCACCTCCCCCCTCGTCATAAAAAATCCTTCCAATGCCCGCCATCAGCCGACCTTATCCACGCTCGATGGGCACGATACCTCAGGCAACCTAATGTTTAACCTTTTAAGCAGGGGAGGTTGAGACCTGCAAAACATAAAAACTTAGTCCATCCTTAGACATAACCCCTCAAACTTGATTGGCAAGGACATACCCCCGCCTAGCTGTGACTAACTGAAACTAAAAGGGGTGGGCGGGTGGGAAGCTGTTTGCTGGCCCATATCCCAAGTGGCACTGAGGTAAGGCCTCCCCCACACTAACTTACATTAAGCCTAACCCCTCCCATGCACACTTCCCAAGTCCCTCCCCTGTATCTATCCCCACACTCCTACATGTGCCCTTGTCCGCTTAGCTGTGCTATCTCCCCAGGGCCTTGTATGTACGTAGTGGGGAATTACGATACCACATAACATAGATAACCCCAATAAAAAAAAACCCAATAACGACAGACAACTTAGTATGGATGAACAGGCCACAGCATTTATTATAACATAAATAAATTACTGCATAACACATCCATAACTTTATTTATTAAACTCTTCTTTCTGTTAGAAATAATCATAAATTAACATATATACATATAATAACAAAATGTGCTATGCAGAGACCCAACCGTCCTTGCCAATAAATATCCAGTGGTTCCTAATCACCACTTCCTCTCACCTACCCCCTCGTCATAAAAAATCCTTCCAATGCCCGCCATCAGCCGACCTTATCCACGTTCGATGGGCACGATACCTCAGGCAACCTAATGTTTAACCTTTTAAGCAGGGGAGGTTGAGACCTGCAAAACATAAAAACTTAGTCCTTAGACATAACCCCTCAAACTTGATTGGCAAGGACATACCCCCGCCACCAGACCCGCTGCTTTACCCCTAAATCAGCAGTGAACCCCACCAAAACCTCCCATGGCCTGTTCCACCACTTCTTGAACGTCGAGATTGAAAAGGTCAAGCCCGACCTCCGTTAGGTGTACCCCGTCCCCCCGAAAAAATTGAGACGCCTCCCGCTCAAAAACCCTGTGACAGACCGGGATCCCCCGAACCCCCAAAACAAACTGGGAAACCCGCCTGTTTAGCTTGCGTCTGCAACGTTCCATCGTACTCTGGCTCCTGGCGCCACGCCAGTAGTTAGGGGCAATGACCTCGGACCACACCAAGCGCACCCCGGGGAACAAATTCAGAATGCTGGCTAGTTCCCGCTTCACCGCCGAAATCAAGTCCCAAATGGGCACCACACCCAGATCATTCCCCCCCAGGTGGATCACCAGGACACTCGGCACCCCCAGGATATGGGAAAACTGCGCTAATTCGGGTAGGAGCCAGGACCACCTCATACCCTGTGCCCCGAGCCATCGTACCTCTGCTTCGGAAGGTGTGAAAGCCAACCTTTCGCCTCTAGGCCGCACCTCCGCACGCTGCCCAGCCCAGTAAACATAGGAGTGTCCGATGATCCAGATCCTGGGGGGAAACGAAACTGTGGAGAGAAATCATGTCAATAAACCGGTCGGACGAACATAGGAAACAACGTCTCGAGTCCCACCTACCAATCCTTTGAACTACCTGCGCCGGCATGCCAAGCCTCGAGGCCTCGGTAGCCGCCCCTATACGGAACGAATGGCCCCCAAACTCCCTGCTATCCAATCCCACAGCCTCCAGCCCCAAATGAAAAACTCTAATAAACTGGAAATGGGAAAGGAAACTACCATCCCCGTGTACCAGGAGTGGCAACGCGGGGAAGGGCGCAGAGCACAATATTCCCCAAAGGACCAAACCGGACAGATGCCGGAACCCGGCACGGACCCCAACCGGACCCACTTACCCCTCCCCAAGACATCCGTCTTAGAGCGGTGAATCCTGAATGAGATCCGGTCAGCGGTACATGAAACGTCCCCCCACTTGTTGCCGGCTGGGGCACACCAGCTCCCCAATCCGCATAGCCCCAAAGAATGCCAAGGAAAAGGCTAGGCGAAAGAGCCGAACCTCAAATTCCGAATGGCACACCCTGTGCAACACCTCACACAAAGCAGTTAGGAGCGTGCCCGAGACAGGCCGCCTCGAGTCTCGCATAGACACCCGCCCCCTCCTCAAACCTTTCAGCGCCTGCCGTATGAGGAATGCTTTGGTAGCGTCGTCCCAACCCCGCAACTTAAACAGGAAGCTGAGTCCCGCTAGGTGCGCCAAAACGGCCGAGGGAGACAACCCTGCAGCCTCCCAATCCCTAAAGAGAAGAACCAAAACCTGCAGGCGAGCGGAGGAGTCCCTGAAACCCCCCAGGGACCTCTCCCACCCGTCCCATTCCCTCCAGACCTTGTTATAGCGGTCCCACGTGGCCGCCGGCATGACCCACGGACCAGTTCCATTAGTCGGTCAGACCCAAGGACCACATCTCCGTCGGACACGGGACACCCACCAATTCGGCCTGCGGAGCCACTGCCCGAAACACGTCCCACTGTGAACGAGAGAGAGCATCGGCCATCACATTACGAACACCCGGGATATGCACCGCCCTACAATATACATTCAGCTCTAGACAGCGCAGAACTAGGCGCCGCAGCAGGCAAACCACGGGGGGAGAGGAAGCAGACAGCTGGTTGATCGCCTGCACCACTCCTAAGTTATCACAATGGAAGACCACCCATCTGTCCACCAGCATGGGACCCCACACTTCCAGAGCTACCACAATAGGAAAGAGCTCCAGAAACGCCAAGTTTCGAATGAGCCCCGTTCCCTGCCAGGCCTCCGGCCAAGAGTCAGCGCACCATTTTGTGCCCAGAATGGCCCCAAAGCCAACCGAGCCCGCCACATCGGTGAACAAATGGAGGTCTGCGTTAGAGACCTCCGGGGCCTGTCAGTAGGACCTGCCATTATAGGAGGCCAAAAAGGAATCCCAAATGGCTAATTCAGCCCGCAAAGGCCGGGTAAGCCGGATAAAATGCTGCAGTTGAACGACCCCTGACATTGCTGCCGCCAGGCGCCGATTAAAGATGCGCCCCATAGGCAGGATTCGACAGGCAAAATTGAACTTCCCCAGCAGAGACTGCAGGCAGCGCAGCTGTATCTTATGCCGCCCCGAGGCCCGGGACACCGCCAGGCGCAGGTCCACCACCTTATCCTGCGGCAGCTGACATTCCCCAGCCATCGAATCAATTTCGATGCCCAGAAAGCTCAGACACGTGACCGGACCCACCGTCTTGTCATGAGCCAACGGGACTCCGAAGCGCTGAAACACTTCCCCGAGAACCGGCAGCAGGAGGGCACAGACGTGTGATCCCGCCGGACCCACACACAGGAAATCATCGAGGTAGAGCAGGAGGGAGGCGACCCCAGCTTCCCTCCGCACCACCCATTCCAGAAAAGTGCTAACGCTCTCGAAATAGAAACAGGACAACGAGCAGCCCATAGGGAGGCACATGTCCACGAAAAACTGACCCTTAAAGGTGCACCCCAAAAGATGATGGCACTCCGGATGTACCGGGAGCAGCCGGAAAGCGGATTCCACATCCGCCTTGGCCAGCAATGCCCCCGGGCCCGCCGCCCTAACCATGCGAACCGTCGCATCAAAGGAAGCATAGGAGACCCTACAAAGCTCAGCGGAAATGTCGTCATTCACCGAACCCCCTCGAGGGTATGACTAATGGTGAATCAAACGATACTTCCCGGGATCCTTCTTAGGCACCACACCCAAAGGAGAGACCGCAAATTAGCCATCGGTGGGGAGGAGAAAGGGCCGGCCATCCACCCCAATGTGACCTCCTTATCCAATTTTTCCCGTACCACCTGAGGGAAAGCCTGCACCGATTTGAGGTTGCGTACTGAGAGCAGCGGAGGGTGCTCAGAGAACGGGATCCAAAACCCTCGCTCAAACCCCTCCTATAAAGGTCGAGCCACGGGCGCATCGCGTTTACGAGGACTGGAGTCGTCGCCCTTAGCCCCCTTTCTCACCCGTTTTTCCCCGCTTGAAACAGCGAGAGGCGGAATGGGCTCCGCCGCAGCCGGAGCACTCGTGCTTAAACCGGCAGGAAGACCCCCATTTACAGTGACTGTCGTTAAACCTCCAACAACAGCCAGACCTTGGACCTGAGGCCGATGAGGAGGAAGTCGCGCCCCCACCGGCCCCCCAAGAAAGGACGAAAAGGCGCCTTGTTGAGGGGCTGGACGAGTCATGATGGAAAGCCAGAGGCCGATATCCATCTGATCCCATGACAGCGAGGGACGCACTGCCAGCCGCTGTCGAAACTGCTTGTCGTATCTCCACCAACCCAGCCCCCCATAGGTGCGACAAGCGTTCCAGATCGTGTCCTAGTAACAGAACAGCGCGGAGCACTTGTGGGGAAACTTTTCCCCAACCACGCTGGCTAAAATAGAGAACGCCCGAATCCAGTTCCCAAAGGTCTTGGGAATTTTGGTGAAAAGGTACTTCTCCCTATCCTTCTCCGACTCCTTACTGTCCTTGTCCGCCACGGGAGGAGCTTCCTCCAGTGGCAGGAGAGAAAATATCTCCACAAATTCCCCTTTCCAAATTTTTTCTTTCATTTCCTGCTTCAAGTGCAAGCCCAGAGGGCCAGACCAGCACATGTAAGCCGCACCCCGCGCTACGTCCGGGACCCCCCCTTCGAGACCAGTATCAACCGAGGCAGCGCCCACACCGGCCACCGCGGGTGCTGGGGAACCCAGGGTCACCGTACCGCCCCCCATCCCGAGAAGAGGCCCAGGAGGGGGAGAAGCCTGAGCATTAGGAGGGAGCAGGGCCGGGGACCAAGCCGACCAGGGTTGACTGTCCACCGAAGCGCCCCCACTAACCGCCATCCCCCGCTCCCACTGATCAAAAAAAACCCTAAGACCCGAGAGGAACCCTCCCAACCCGGGACTCGCAGCGCCAGAAGCGGAGGGAACAAAGTACTTACCGGTCGCAGACTGGCGATCCAAGCCCGGTGCTGTGCTCACAGAAGGCAAAGAATCAGCATTTCCAGCAGCCACAGAAGACATCAGCTGTGTTCCAGGCGCCACCTGCTGGACGGATCCATGAACTGCAGCAGTATCCTGTGAAGAAAGCAGCAGAGCAGACGTGAGCCCATGCCCCCCAGGAGATGGCCGAGGTAAGTGACCTGCAGGGGGGGAGGGGGCCCAGACAAGCGGGGAAGAAAGAAGAGAGGAGGAGGCCAAAGGGGGGGAGAAAGAAGATGGGGGGGAGAAAGAACAGAGG